AAACTGGCAGCTGGTCCAGTCTGGTCCAATTCAAAATCACCACCAATGACCTGTTTGATTCAGATTTGGTTGAAGGGAACATTGACCGAAAACCATGGTGTTCAACACCAAAAGTTTCGGAGCTCTGTGCAAGAAGGCTCCAGCACTTCGGCCTGCCTGGCAGACTTTGGTGCGGAACTTTGCGGCACAGAACTTTACCGATGTCTCAGATCCCCCTCTGAGGACCCCCAAAATAGCGGCTCAAGCAACACATACATGCTGTAATGTGGACTCTTGATTAATAAAAACTCCCCTGTTTGGATTGAACAACCTCTTGATAGGGGGGTTATTATTCAAAAGTCTGCATTACACATTTTATATATATATATATATACAAAACAAAAAAAAACAATGCTTAGGCTTACTGATTGGTGTGCCACACTTCTTTGCACGACAGTGCAAATTCACTGCCTGTTCTTGGGATAGCTTCAACCAGTGCTGGTATGGGGATATCCTCTGTCAGTTCTATTACAGTAGTTGTTCAACTATGTTTCTAAGTTCAAAGATCCCTTCTCAACCAAACCAAACCTCATCTCAGCTCTAGAACCCTGATTTTGTGGTTTGGGTGGATCTAACATGATTATACATGGACCATGGACCTATCTACCGGGGCGACCGTGGACCCGGAAAAAAGAACACGCCCACATTCCGCCGATTCCGCGACCCGCGGCGGACGGCCTCCCGCAGCTCGTGGAAGTCGAATTCTTGACCTCAGGGACGTCACGCGACCGGTTCCGTCGCGGCGTGGGGACGTGGAAACGGGGCACGACGCGGGCGACGTCGCCTGGCAGCATGGCGACGTCGAACAAATGGACCGGTGACAGGGCCCTTCCCAAGCCTCCATTTCAGAGACCCGTTGGAAGGTGCTGGTATATGCATCGAACTCATATCAGTTTCGGGAGTGCAGTGTGTGGTAAGAGCAGACTTAGCCAGTTCAGACACGTCCTCCTGGCCATTTTTTCGTCAGTGAAGGTCGGTGTTCTCAGGCTAGCGGTGGTCATGGCTGAAGATCTTCGGTCAATCCGTCGATCTTTGCTTGAAGGTCTCAACCTGACATGCTCGATGATCTTGGATGATTGGGTTGCTTGGATGATCCTAAATGTGTTGATCCCCCCATTTCGGAAGAGACAGCTGGTTCCTCAAAGTGACCCAGACTGAGGTCCCCAAAGGTTTCCGTCACTTAAGCCTCCCAAAGGTCATTTAGATTAAGGACCCTCAAGTTTGGTCAATTTTGAAGAAGCTGGATCAAGCAAATCTTTTCCTTGCAAGACAATCAGTTCACCGGGAAAAGGAACATACTGTATTCAAGAAGCCCTTCTCAAGGTACTGATAAATCCATTGCTAAGGGTCAAACTCAAGACGTATCAAAGGATCTTTTCTAGACTTTGTGCAGACATCAGATCCTGTCGCAGCCTATTGAGCTTGAGAAGCATAGCTCATGCATGTGGAATTATTGTAGTCTGTCAACTATTTTTTCTACTGCTCAAAGAGGAGCACCAGCCTGCAACGGTCTTTTGGGTGGTCTTTGAGGTACGGAAACGCTCAAAAGAGATCCTGTGGTCCTCGAGAGAAAAATGCTTCTTGGAATGAGGCTGCTTGGAACTTGGAACCATGAAACCATGCTGGAGTCTCTTTTGAGATCCAACCCAAAGTCCGCTCGCAGAAAGTCATGATATATAACTCATGCCCTCCCTCTCTGAGAGTCATGCCATGCCATGCCCTTCAATCAGTCCAAAATCCCACAATCCAGTTCAGTCCCCTCAGTCCCCAGGAATTGCAGACTTCGTCAGCTGAACCTGGGCTACGTCTCCCATCAGCCTACTCTCGGCTCTGAGGCAGCCCACTCAGCCGATTCAAGACCTGTCAGGCAACCCTCAATCGGGCGGCTTATGGGCACGCCAAGCTTAAATATAAAGTGGGCACGCCAACCTAATCAAATCTTTTCACCCACTTCCATCCATTAGAGCTGCGACTATACCGACTATATCAGAGTTTGTTGAAGTGTTGCCCCTCCGAAACGGCTTTTTGCATTTCTGGTAGGCCCGTGTCCGTATCAACGACTCAGGGCAGCTGCAGTGCTGTACTGTATAGTTCTGGTCGTGCCACCACTAGGCCCAGAACAACGACTCAGAGCAGCTGCTCAGAACGTAGAAATGACTCAGGGAATAGTAGGACCAATCAAGCCAACCTACTAAGCTAGGCTATGGCAGCCTCCCAGGCGAGAATGTCATCTGCTCTATGACCCTGGAACTTGCAAAAATCTAAGCAAATTTCATCAGAGGTTCGGTCGGAAGACGAACAATGTCGAACATATGACCCAACACCTTTGTTGTGATGCAGAATGTGGATGTTCCTTCGAATGCAAATTTTCAATAACATCAAAACTCCACCTAGCCCACAGAAAGCCAATGCTTTTCACCCGCAAACTGGCCTGTGGAACTTCCTCTCGATGTTCTATTCATTGCCACATGGGTGTGAATAAGAACAGGTAGACCACCCTTGAACCCCCGCTGAAAGGTTCGGGAAATAGACAAGTCTACCCAGCCAGGGCCACAAAAGGTCTCCCGGATTGTGAACAAAACCCACATGAACATCATGAACATACCTGGACCTTCTTTCGGGGTGTCCTGTCTGGAGGTCCCTTAAAGAACTTAATGGTGGGCTGGGGCTTCGGTGACCGGTTTGAAGGTGGTATATCATTCGCACCGATTCCATCCATTCGGACGTCTGTGACGTTCGAATACGTGCCTCTTGTGTTGAACTCATCCGACTGGACCCTCCGACCCCCCTTCCCGGGTGCCGCATCGGTGGGAGGGATCATCCGACCTGCGGAACCGGGGGGTCGTCGAACACAAACGCCCCGTGTTCGAGCGGACCAGGACGAGGACGTGGTTGGCAACAAAAAGGGGTTTTCAGAGAGAATGAACAGAGAATGAACCGATGAAAACGACGAACTGCTCTTTTTTCTTGAAGGATTTGTTCTTGAGAATGAACCGAACACATAGATGAGAACGGGCACGTGCCCATGGAAAGAGATATGTCCAGCTAAGGCTCCCAAACACTGGACCGGATTCGAAGTGTCTGGGAGATGGATTCACTTTAGGGATGTACTGTGCTCTCGTAGGTTGTGCAGTCAGGAGCACACAGCAGCTACTATTACTATTACTATTACTTTTACTTTTACTATTACTTTACTATTACTATTACTACTCCTACTACTATTATTACTACTACTACTAAGTAGGAGTAGCAGTTGGAGTGGTAGTCAAAGTGGTCGTGGTCGTAGCAGTAGTAGTATCCAAAGTGAACAACCGTCAACATTCATGGAATAGGAACCTTCTGGGTTGTACTATATCACTTACAGTATCCTCCCCCAAAAAAGGCGTGGAGCTCCCTCTGGAAGGGAAATCTGCAGGGTTCATCTACAAACAGATCTGGTGAAGGAGGTTCTCAGAGTCTCATCGGAGGGAGGTTCATCTACTGTATATCACCTTGGGCCATAGTATATATTATGTATTTATAAGTTTTGAAGCACAAACATTCTCACAACACATCATTGTCAACCTGCCGTACTCCCCCACCCCGTCCTGTTCCTGATCAATCTGTAGGGATCAGAAGGAACATCCGCGCAGCCCAGGGGGAAACGCAGAGAAGGCGTTAGGCACGCCGGTGCGAACCGCGGCGGGGTCACCACTCGGGTCCGTTTTGGAGCCCTGGAGTCCTCAACGGTGGCAAACCCGTCTACTCACCATTAAGGGGGGGCGGGGTGGGGATAGGCTGCTGTATCCGTGCTGCAAGGTCTCGTGGGCGTCTGGTTACGACTTCAAAAGAAGCCTCTGGGACCTATAGGAACACCCAGGAAAACCTATAGTCTAAAGGGCAACTGGTTGAGGTTGGGCTTTTTTTCAGGGTGTCTGTTCGGCCACTAGCTAGTTGTGGAGTTTCAGGTTGCATCTGTAGCAATATTTTCCCTACGGGAGTCTCATGGTTGTAGCTTTGCCATGTCAATGTGAGCAGTCTGCTGGCCAGAATGTCAGGATCTGATGTCTCAATCTGGTCTAAATAAAGCAGCTTCCTCCTCTTTGGGAAGCCCAATCAGCTGCGGCATATGGACGTGAAGCTGGATGTTGACATGCCAAATTCTAAATGGCCCTAAACGGCTCGACAATTCAAGGAGTTTACACCGATGATGCTTGCCAACTCGTCTGATTTCAGGGGTTCATTGAATGAACCAATTTTTGGCGTCATCTCTATACGATCTCATACGTCCCCTTGAATGCCTTGAAGAAATTATAGTGTCTTTGGAGGCAGGAACACCCTCAATTTTCTCATTGCACCGGCAAAATATCCAGGTAAAAGCCCTCCATAACTCCATCCAAGGTTCTTCCGCGCTCCTTTTCCTCAACCTGTTTGGGTCTCTTTGTACCTCTTCCTGTGGAAAAACCTGAAACGTTCAAAGCTCTGCCGCTCGCGGCGAGTCGGAAGGTGGTCTAACTCGGGCCGAGTGTCGGGCAGAGGTGTTCGAACAAACAAACCACGGACTCCACTCACTTGCCGCCAGAAAAAAGTCTCAAACAATAGCAACTGAAGCTCTCTGTGCTTTCTTAATGTTGCTAGAAACCGAAGCCACTGCTTGCGAAGTGGTAGCATCACTTTCGGACAAAGTGCGAAAAAGAGGCTGAAACACAGATGCACCAACAGTGGATCCAGCGCATTTGATATGGTTGTTTGGAACCTCCTTGGCCACACACCGTGCCGCGGACTCGAACAACGTCATGCAGGTTCGTTAGCTCTGGTCGCGGAATCATGGCAAGAAGGAACCGGGGATTGCAGACACAAAGCCAATCTCTTCCAGCGACAGTCCAGAAACCGAACATGTTGGTGTCAGCTAATATCATCTAGTATAGCGGCTAAACATGCTAAACTGCTAAACCATGCAACATGAGTTCAAGTACTCACCCGTCACCAAGAACTACTGAAGATTGAGCTGCAACCCCAAAAAGACTTGCCACGAGACTCACTGTAGCCGGAGATCTTTGCTCCGGAATGGTCGGCCGGTCACAGATTCTGCATCGGCCGCCGCCTCCAAACGGCTGCAATCCGGATGCGTTGAACATAACTTCCGGGCAGGGCAGCAAAAGTCAACAACATTTATATATATATATAATTGTATTATCAAATGGGCATCGTCTTCAGACGTCCAACGACTTATTCACGCAACAATCATCAACTGGGGACACAAAGGCCCACAGGTTAGATATAGTTAGATACTGTATGGTTCTTGTTACCATCGGTTGAGAATTTCTGCCAGCCATGCGTGAGCCTTTTGACCCGTGAGCCACTCTGCGTCTTTACCTGCAAAGCGATGGTGGTTGTGGCTGATTGCTTCGATGGGAGTGAGACTGTAGTGAGACTCATGGAAGATTAGTTTTTTGGTGTAAAGCTCCTCTTCCCATCGGAACAGGAGTCCGAATCAGGAATTCATTCTCAAATGATCCATGTAATCAAGTATTGTTCTTCTCAATCACCACGTGTGGGCTTGTTGTTTTGCAGTGATACATCCATCATGGTCTAGGTCTGGTCTTTCGGTGAGCGATGCAAAAAGAGATGCAGTGAACCCCATCAGCAACACAGCAACGTTTGAGGCAAAAATGTCACACCCATCGCATCAAGGACGACCATCAACTCCTTCCTTATCCTGCTGATGGCTGGCAAGAAAGAGAAGTGCCAGCAAAACCCAGGTATTCCAGGTAGAAGCAATTAGAAGCAAAGTTGAAATCTCCAAGAGAATCTCCCATCCTTGAATTGGACATCACCAAATGATTGCTCCATTTCCTGAAGAAACAACCTGCTCAAAACGCAATGCTTCAAGAGCTCCGTCACACCCAGAGACAGCGTGCCTGGAGACCGTGCCAAAGCCTGGTGATTGGCCAGGGGAGTGGTAAGGGGTGTTTGGCACCCCAAAATGTGACGTAAAACGTTCTATGGACTGACTACCTGCTCTCTTATTCTCTTAAACATGGCGACTACAATAAGCAGTTGTATGAACTACCTGCTCTCAAGAAGCAATGTATATATACATGAAACATTATTGCACAATCAAACATGAAGTGATCCCGATATAGCCCTTGCACGCCCTTGCCCTTAACTTCTGGCATTCCTGGTATATGTTTGCACGCAAGCAAGCAAACATGGCTGAGAAACCCAAGAGCTGTCTGACAGGACACCCCTTTAAGCAAGCCAGTCACAGTCATGGCACAGTCAAAGGGGTAAAGCACAAACGATGAATTCTGATATATTCTGCCATATGCCTTCTTCTGGATAGCAAGGATACTCCCATTCAACATATCATCAACTACTGATCTTTCTCAAAAGCACTGCTGAGCAGGAACCCCCACGGCCAGGTGTACCCCTTTTTATTTGCCCCAGTCCCTGCTCCGGTCGGCTCTGTCGCCTGACGGGCTTCCGGGATAGGGCGAACTGGACAGCGGCTGTCGGCAGACCTTGGCCATGGACCTCACGTGATCGAGGAGGTGATGCCATCCATCCCATCGCGCCGCGGAACAAACGGAACCAACGGAGCACTCCTTGGGACTGGCATAGGTACCGATCAGTTAGGGTGGTTGAAAAGGAGTGAATGTATGTAAATGTTCCATAGATGGAGTGTCTATGAGTGTCTCAGTGTATCTCAATGTTAAGGATTTGCTCCGGGTTCCTTTTTTTATTATTGGGCTCCGGATTGGAAGGTGTGGCACGGCGCTCTCTGCGCAGTTGACTTCAGTTCTGAACAACACTTCACAAACTCTATACGTCTTAGCAAGAACATGTTCATCGTGCATGATCAAGTTTGCCAACAATCAACAACATCATCTAAGGCTGAATGCCTCCAATTCAAAAGAAAACACAAACAAACCAAACCATTCCATTGGTTTCACTGCTGCAACCTCCGCCCAGCCACACCCGATGAAGGCTCGCGATGGGTGGTGGTGCCTCATGGGTTTCTCGATGGGCAGCGCCGCCAGCTCTGCTAGACTCAAACTTTTTGGCCTTAGCTGGGAAGGGCAGGGAAAGCCCTTCCAAGGTGAGTGTTCAAAGTTTCCCATTCTTTGGCTATTTGGGAGGCGGGCCCCTTCCCAGCATTGGAAGCCCATTCATGAACTCCACTGGATGAAATACCACCCTGACATGAAACTTCTGGATAAGCAATGAAATAAAGGCATGCTTTGTGGAATCAAGTCATCGGGACATCGGTGTTGTTGTCCATTGTTATCCATGTCTTCGTTGTATAGAGTAGCTGGTAGTTTGGACCAAACGTGATTGATTGGCGGAAGCCAAGTGTAGCTTCAGGCTTTGTTAATAGATGAACCACATGAATCTGAGACCTGCTTCATCTAAACCCTCTGACATAGAAGGAAAAGAGAGACATTGCGGCCCTGTGTAAAGTATCTGAGAGCTGTTCTAGAGCTCAAAGCAGATGCGGCTATGCGGCCCGGTTTTCAAGTTCAATCCAATCATTCCATCAGGACCTCCCATTTCTCTGCAAGCAGTGTTGATGGAAAATACTCACATCTCCTGCACCAGCAGGTGAAAGGATCTATCGGTGGTGCATGGTGGTGCAGGATTCTTCCAGTCAGCACGATCACTCCATGAACTCTCCCTAGGGCTCCAACCATATCCTCAGAAGGTGGTTAGTGGTTAGACCCCAAACACGCACCCCAACCAGATTCTCAGGAGGTGGGCCAGGAGCCCTAGGGTCTAAACACTCCACCCAAGCGGCTGTCGTGAACATCTTGGAGACACATGCGAGACCTCAACGGCCTTCCCCTGCCAAGGTTGTGAAGAGTTGAGAGGTGATGAAACAACGACATGTCGCACATATACCGTCATCATACTGAGCATACCATAATTAGACCCATATCAGAACTCTAAACCCTTACAACCATATGGGTAAGAGAGTCGGGTTTACTTGGAACCGTGTTGATCATGTCGGTACTTAGAACCATAATAGAACCCTTACATACCCTTACCACCCCTACAACCAATACCCACCGGGTCCCGCGCCCAACCGCGCCTTCTTGGGACTCTCCACTGTAAACTCAAAGGTGCCGGTCGCCACCGGACACGCGCGAACCACCTGGAGTGACGGTCACCCCGGTCACCCAGTTCGCTCAACGCCAGGCGCCCCAGGGGCGGCGCCACGGGGGACGGAGAAGGTGCGTTTCTCGAAGACGTGACTTAGCAGCGTGAATTCACGTGACTTAGCGTGATGTCATAGCAACATGTCCTATTCTTAAGATGCCCGATGAACAACGATGAACATTCCAACATTGCTTGACATCCTGATCTAAGGCAAGTGAGTCCTCCCACTTAGTTGATGGGTAAAGTGTAAAAGCTCTCTTCTAATTGACCAACAGGTTGACAGCCATGGAATCCATCCATCCATCCATCCATCCATCCATCCATCCATCTTCAGGGTGAATTCACCACTGGTTGAGCCCAACCACCTGCTTCTTACACAGAAAACGCCCTAAAACACCTCACAGCCATTCGTTCAGACCTTCGGCAGAAGCTCATTCTGCATCCATCCATCCATCTGAAAAGCCTCACCCCCCAAATGGGGCACGTCCAGCTGCCTGGCGTCCACACAGACCTTCCCACCTTCTGCAGGCGCCGCCGGCGGATCAGGTCCTCCAGGGCCTTGTGAGGGGATGGTCCAGATGGACGTTGATGGATGAAGCAATGAAGCTCCAGATATCTGATCTCTCAAGATCCTGAACCTTGACTGGGTCAGAATCAATGATCATCAACGAGCTTGGGGATATCGAGGTTGACTGCGTGATGATCTTGAGCTTGATTGGGTCATAATGATGTCCACGAAACTGATGTTTGTCATTTATGATGGTGATGGTATTCTTGATGATAATGTGATGTGATGGTGATGATGGTGATGGTGATGACTTGTTCGATCTTCCCTCACCTGCCACGTGGTGCCCTCATCATCCGAGGCAAAGAAGCGCCTGGCCCAGCTGAGTGCGCTTTCTCCCACTAGTTCCATCTGGAAACGGGTTACCAATAGCCAAGTCCTCATGTTGCTTGTTTGTTTGGCACCTGACCATCCTGAACTTCATTCGGACTTCTTGGAAGATTCCCCGGAAAATTGTCCAGCAATCTTGCTTCTCGCTTCCATCGTTTCAACGACTTCTTGCAGCCCTACAGGGCAGGCATGCACACACTGCCACACACCGTGCTCAGGTCCGTACGCATCTCCGTTTCACCGTTGGGGACGTCCATCTTCCGTTCGAAGGTATACATGGTATGAGGATGTACGTGGTAAATGGTTTCGAGGTCTTTTTTGTTTTTAGTGCCTTTGGCCGGTGCAATCGCCTATAGGCCTATAGGTGACTCGGAAACCGTCCATGTAATTGCTCGAGGACAACCTCAAGAACCAATGTATTGACCGATTTGACGATTTTGTTCCAATGCTCTGCATGAATAACTGATATGTCATGATATGTCTCATGTTTAATTCATGAACTACATGATTGCAAAAGGCATAATCCTCCAATATCCTCCATCATCCTCCATACCTTCGATATTTCCTTCGTCCCACGAGTTCTCCACTGAAAAAAAACGCCCAAACGCCCCTCCCCGACCCGTCCCACGCTGGCACACCACGATCGTCATTTCCGGCAAACGGGCAAGCTGCACAGCCCCGTGACATCGGAGTCCATCCTGAAGACCATCGGAGTCGGTAGGTTTTTGGGTGAACAAGTACGTGAATCTGTGGCTGGATGGAGCGGGATGGAAACACACATGGAAAAAAAGCACGCTTGATAGGTTTCTAGATTCATGGGAAATCACGCCTGTATGACGTCCACCGATTCACCAGCCACAGCAAAACGAGAATTCTCATGGTCAGATGGAGAGAACAAGGAACACTCCCGCTGAAACCAAATGCTTCGCAAGATCGTCGCGCTTGCGCGTGATCCTTGCGATAAAACCCACGCCCCAAAACACCGGTCTCCTCGCTCACCGGTTCACCGAACCGGGACCCCGAAGCAAGGCCCGTGTCGCCAGCCGTTTCTTTTCGGTTCGCTTGGCCTCAACTTCAGCTGCACGCCACCGATGTGGGCGACCACCACCTACCGATGGGTTCCATCACAGGGGAGAGTCTGGTAGAGAAATGTGAAGAAGAAAGTCAGTCCATGTCCTCCTAATCATGAAGTGCAAAGAGTCTGGCCAGTTTCTCATCAATGTATCAGCGTGCATCAGCTGGCTTTGTTGACTGTGTCAGAAACACAGCAACAAAGCAAGGAAACACAGTGACAGAAGCAATCACATAACAACTACCAACTGAAAAGGGATAGCAGGTCGGTGGCAACAGGTTGGTAGAAACAGTTTCCTCTTCCAGGGACAGCCTACCAGCAAGGATGATGTCGAGTTTGTAGGGCTGTCATGATTGTAGGGCTATGATATGGTGTATATCATATATATATATCATGTACACATACACTTCCTATGTTCATACTGAACAGTCTTTGGAGAACTTCTTTTGCCTGCAAACATGCCGGATAAAGTTCTTCATGTTGCTTGATAGTAAGATCTAGCAATTCACCCATGGCGCTCATCGCGCAATTTTCCTCCAGGAGGGAACCTCCATGCGTGTTGCTCAAGGCCTGGTCGCACTCTGAAAGGATCTGCACCTGAGACTTCGGCTGCTTCGTGGGTTGTGCGACGCGACGAAAGCAAGGCCCAAAGTGTGAACACGTTGTTGGTCTCCAAGAAGGATGCAACATGGACAAATAGTTTGGAGAACCAGTCATCTGCACGGGTCCAAAGTGTAGAATGTGAACATTGAACATGGGCCCTGGCAGTTTGGTATGAATTTCCCTTTCTTCAGGGGTCATCCCAAGTAGCAATCTGACCTGTCAACAATGTGTGTGTATCCTAAACTCACAGCTGAAGCACGGACAAAAGTATTTGGATATAACATGATATAAACTACGATCCGATGTTCTAATAGTGGTGTCACTTGGTAGGTGGTTTTACTTCACACATTTCAGTTGTGTGGTTTTGAGTGGGACTTGCAGGTTCACTCCTTTCTTGGCTAAGCCTCTGCCAACTAACGACCTGCAACGCGCCTCCAAATGCTGCCAGCCATACTGAGCTAACAGGGCCTGATGGCGGAACATTGGATCATCTACTTTGCTATCAGGTGCTATTGGTATCTATTGGTGGGAACATCCTTTTCTAAATGGCACCTGCAAATGATCCATCCCGTCCATCGCAACAACTCCTTATGCAGCTGACAAGCACAACTGTTGTACAAACAACATAAATACAAGACAGCACAAGACACATGCTGGTGTATATCAATAGCTATCTAGTGAATATCTCTCTGTAATGTTTAATAGATTTATATTATAATACAATCCAAATCTTATATAATATACATTAAACAATATTAAACACACGGATAATACCTGGAAGCCTATCAAGGGTCGGTATCAAATGTCAAACGTACGGAAAAGGCTCAAGTCTGGTGAACTGTTGTCCCCCAAAGACAAGGCCTTTCTGAAAGCGCCAGGATCCGGCCTCCAGGGTCTTCTTCACCTGAGCAAAAAACACCGAAAATGGTCGAGGCCCAGGGGGCCCTGGGTGTAGATTGAAGATGTTGAAAATCCTCAAATGGGTCAGTCGTCCAGGAATCTGTCACCCATTTTTCTACTTTTATTTTGTGGCCCAGATCCTCCTGGGCAGTCCTCGGGGTGTATTGGGGGAGTTGAAGGAACTGACTGATTATCCTGAGCACAATGACAGAACTCTCTCTCCATCTATTTATATACACGATATATCGGATACTATCGGTCAGGCATGCTCATGGCCCTGGCGTTCAATATCGTCCAAACAAAAACTTCTTGACAAAGACCCCTGAGGCACCCTACTTGTCGACTTGGATTCAGCCTTGCAACCGCCTAGCCAGAGCTGCAAATCGCAGCTGGGGCGATTTCAAAGGAAACAAGCCGATGTCAAATATACCCGGACCTTCAAAGTCGCAAAGTGACCTTTTGCAATAGGTTTTGGTATATGGGATTGTTGGATTTGTGTTCCTTGTGGAGTAATTAATCGACATTTCCCAATTGCCCTTCCCCATCTAGGTGGCTTTGGCAACTCAACACTGTAAAGAGCTGCTTCTTGCGAGCATTTTCGGATTAGCATGGATTAGCAAGAGCACATCGAAACAACATGGTTTGAGGGCAACAACATCAACTTTCATGGTGGTCAGTGGCGGACATGCTTTAACTTCATTCATGTCACAGCACTTTGTCAACCCCCGATAAATCGTATCGCACATGCACAACCCCTGGCTTTTGCAAGCAAGGAACAGGGCACTCACTTGGCTGAGGTCAAGTGGATCCTTCTACCTGGCTACTGGCTATGTACTATACAATGGCCATGCAGCCCTACTAGTGCAAATCAAATCGAACTAAAGGCTGTACTACTCTGGTCTGGTTGTTTTTTTTGCATTTCTGCACTTTTGTCAGAGACAAGTCATGCACAGTCCGACCATGAGACCGGGCAAACAGAACGCCATTCCTTCAAACTCTGCTGAAATAGGGACTCTGCTGCTTCGAATTCATTGTCCAGCAATTTTGCCCTGCTCAGCTCATGCAGTTCCACTGCTCTAGCCGCTCCTTGATTTTGGACAGCAGGGCTATTTTCTGGCGTCTCCTGAAACACGGATGTGGCTTCTTGAAAAACATGTCTGGGCCGAAAATAACCTATCGCGTGGAAAGACTGGCCTGGTTCGAAAGTCGAGGCAGCACGTTTGATTTGTAGGCTCTCTTCAAACAAGGACTTAGCTTTTTCCAAGTCACCCTGCTGCATTTTCACCCAGCTCAGCAAATGTTTGGTCTCCGCTAGAGAATAGCTTGGACCACCACCAGGGGCAGCACGCTGTATTTTCCAACTCTCCTGAAGCAAAAGCTCCGCTGTAGGCAGGTCTTCCTCCTTCATTTTCACCATACCAAGCTCATGCAAAACCACTGCCATGTAGTAGGTGGGCTTTTCGAGAATGGCTTGAAGTAGAAGAATCGCTGTCAGGTGGCGTTTTTCTTTGCTTCCAGGATTCTGCTGCATCAATTCCTTAACAAGGAATACAAGGTGCTGATTTGAAGACTCCTGGTTTAGGCTGCTTGAGTTCTCTGAGGCAGCGTCTATCAGGGACTTGAGCCTTTTAAGGGCATCGCTCAAATTGTTGCAGTGTTTTTGCCTGCAGTCCTTGCACACATCCCAGCAGCAATAGGTGCAGTGAAGGCCCGACTCAGATTCTGCGAATTCATTGTTGCAGTTCTCACAAACCCAGTAACCCGGACGTTGTCGAACATCCTTGAGTTCATGCATCCAAGGACAAACCTCCTTTCCAGCCAGCCACAGGTTGCAATAGAACTCCAAGCGCTGCATTGAACTCAGGAAGAAGGACTCAAGCTCTTCAACTGCACGAAATGAGGTCGAATCCATCTCTGTGACATCCCCAAGTTGAGACTCTGCAAGCGAACTTGCTCGCAGGTGTAGGCTCGTTGGGCCCGCTGTGGTCGTCTCAATCTGGAATGGGCCTGGGAGTGTTGATGTTGATGAAGCCTCGCTTTCAGAGAACTGCTCCTCTAGCATCAATTGAGCATGGGCCGCACCGGTCCACATGTCGCGCGCCTGCCGCAGGATCCGCCAAGGCTCCGCGACAGGTTCGCTCGCTTCTTCGGCGAGGTGCTCGAAGAGTTGGCGCACTGACGCTGGAGGATCCTCGTTCACTGGCCAACGAAATGCTTCCGCAGAACCCCCGAAACGCCTCAGATCCCAAGCAGCATTCTGAAGCTCTTGGGTGTACTCCAGCTGCTCCCTGAAATCATGTTCAGCCGCAGCTGCAGTGGCGAATTGCTGAATGGTTCCCAGTTTGTCATAGTATTCGTCGATATCTGTACGATCAAGTGCCATAGCCCTCTATCTATGCGCTTGAGCGCAGGCATATGATGCTGCTCATGAGTTGGCAAAGGAACCTGTGTATGCATGCTGTGATTGTAAGCATGAAAACATATCTTCCATCTTCGCCTTTTGCAGGACTGCGTCCAACCTTCATGTTTTTTCATAGTGTCCCATGTTGCCACTCCCCCCTGGGACAGCTTCAGCTACTTGAGGCAAAGCATCTGCAAGCCACGCACTCACACCAGCCACCTGAGGTGTCCGAGATGTCCAAACGGCACGGCACAACAGGCTGAAATCCGAAACCTGCCAAGGTGAAGGCCCTCCCTCTGTGCCTTCTAGTTGGACCACGACCCCCGGTAGGCCGTGTGTTTTTCTTGCGATTTTGACTTTTTTGATGCTTTTTATATATACATCCCAGCTCCAGGTCTTCGTTGCATTGCGCAACAATAAAACATATCTCAGACTGCATGCATTGCACAACAAAAACTCATATCTCAGATCGCACATAACATGATGCTAGCTCATCGTATCTGAAACATATCTCCGACTGCACATAACATGATGCTAGCTCCTCGCATGTGAATTGAAGTCACCACATGCTTGCTATGTTGCACTCTAAATTGTACCCTTGGGTGGATAATTTTCACATTTTTTGCAATTCGCCAAGTTGATGCTACGTTGGGTATGGATTGGAAGTTCTCTGATGTCTGTAAACTTGCTTACTTGCAACAACAACACGTGGACAGTTGCTGACGGTCAGAGCTGCAAACTGTTGGGGTGGGGGGTGGGGGGGGTGGGGCCAACATAATGACGTCGGTCTACATCGTCGGCCAACATAATGACGTCGGTGGGGCCAACATAATGAACGAGCTGTGCAAAGTCGCCAAGCAGAGCCGGTGAGCGCAAAAAAAAGTAGTTTCGTCATTTCGCAAAACGTGGAATTTGCAGTTGCATCTTTGAAAATGATAGTGGCGCTGCAGCGCCGTGCGCATGTTCAATTAGACGGTCCTCACGAAACGCCACGGCCTACCGGGGATCGTGCACCTTCTAGTTAGTCTAAGAGTCTAAAACAACTTCAGCTGCCGTGAAATTGAGTGACCTCCCGGAGGGTCCTGGAAAAGGAGGCTCAGCTTAGCCAAATCGGAAGGAGGTTTAGCTCAGCTCAGCGAATTTGCAGAGGCGCCTGGGCCTTCTTCGCTTGGTTGGCTTCCTGCCCGGTGTTCCGGGGCTTGCAGGGCCGCCGAGTGGACAACACGCAAAAAGCAATTCCTCCCATCCTCCGTTCATGCTACACCAAGCTGCTTCCAACACGTAATGTCAACCTTGTAGGTTTGCATCGACCTTTGGAGCATCCCATAGGACCCCTTTGAGGGGGGATGAATATGGATGAATCATATACAATAATCTGATATAATCTGGTGTTCACATTAGCTGAAAGAGGTCCTATGAGGTCCTTGTGAAGGAGGTCCTATGAGGATCTATGAGGTCCTATGAGGTCCTATTACATTATGTTCTGAAAGTTCTTCCTCCCAATGAGGTCCACTAGAAAGGTCGGCAGATCCTACCTACTCCAAACCGCCGTCTTGGAGATGAACTGGCGACACAGGAGGGTCAGTTTGCTCTAGAAAAGAAGATGTATTTTATCTTCGATCCTTAGAGCCTAATGGGAATGAAGTTCTGAAGTGGTTGTTTTCTTTTCATTTGATCATTCGAGTCTTCGACCCTTTCATCTTCGATCCTTTCATCGTCCATATGCGGAGGAGGATCGGATGTGCAGGGCACGCGTCTGGCGGGGCAGCCGTTTTGGTGCTTCGCGTGCATTCTTTTTCCATAGGCGAACACACAATCGTTGCTTGAACTCTGCAAGTTAGTGGTCACAGGCACGTCCAACGAACTTCCCTGCCGCGAGCGCAAGTGCCGCAAACGCCCGACCCATCTTGCGCTGCACCTCTGCGGTCTTGTTCACCTGAGCAAAGCAGGTCTCCTGACATAACGACCTTCCAGGACGGTGACTAAATGTGGAAGAAACTGGGATGAGAGCTATCCAACTGTTCATTTATTGCCTTGACCCAGTATAGATTCTCAGAGTGTTCTTAACTTCCCAGTGATGGCTAGAAGAGGCGGGTAGGGCGCTTTTCTCTGAGCCATTGGACCAAGCCAGGCGTGTCCGGCGTGGCATTTGGCGGCAGCACCAACGGCGGACATTCCTGAGGCATTTTGCGGCATGCTGAGGGGCAAGCTTCAGAGGTCTTGGGCTCCAAAGACTCAAGAAGCCCCTACTTTTGACTGATTCAATCTGATTCATCAAACTCCACCAAAACGCGCCTGGAGATGCAAACCAGCAGAATCGGGGTGAAAGATCCGTGACTGACCCCCGCCCCAGGGCACATCCAGGCACCTTACCTCAACCACCTTGGATGTCCACCTTGGAAAAATGACATGTCTAAGGAGTCTAAGGACCTAGAACCTGACCTCTATGTTGGACCACCAACCACCCAAAAGATGGTCTAGACGCCTTTTACAACAGAGGTCAAACGGCTTCCAGGTATCTACCGATCAGGTGATCAGTTGGGGTGGTTTAATTGGTCAATGACTCGGTCAATGTATGGGTGTATCTTCCATGCATGGAGTGCCAACCATTCATACAACAATGAGTTGTTGGACAAGAACACCTCCAGGAGAAAAACAATATGATCAACAACAAGTGGGTGAAAACAAGAGTTGGGTAAAAAACAACTGGCTTTTACACCTCCTAAGAGTTGTTGGACAAGACCTCCAGGAGATGTCTGTAAATCATGATCTGTGTGATGGTCACCCAATTCTACGACGTTTCCCTTTGCAGCGCTTCAGAGCTTCAGAGCTCCTGCCAACCCTCAGAGCGAAGGTGGATGTGTTCAAATGACGTGTCTCAAGAAACATCATGCCAAGAACAAACACATCCACATGCGATTGGTCTTGACCATCAAAAGAAGTGAGAACTGCCCTTCAACCGCTTCAACCCAGAAACCACAAACCCATGAAACCATGACTGATTATCTGATAATTCTGCCACATGACCGGGCCATTTGACCCGGCAACTGGTCTATCAGTGTCACTCAACAAGCCCTAAAAGCTTCTCATCGCGTGCATGTCGTCCATAACATGTGCTTGGCAAAAGACAAACACACTCGTATAATAGGTGCTCAGAATGAGTCTCGTACTGGATCTCATTGTCACTCAACGGAGCAAGGCACGTGGAATACACTCTGACCCACTAACATGGAAGTGGATGGCATGGCCCCAGTGAAGACCATGTTCCTCTACAAACAGGTGGTTTTCCATTTCCATATGTCAGTGAGTCGGATTCAAAACCACTTCATGAAAACCAACTCCTTAGACTCCCCGTTTCTAACCTTCCGTCAGCCGAACTTAAGATGTGGGAGGTGGAAACAAAAGCCGTATGTCAAAAGGTTATCCCTAGGGCTCCAACCACCTCCTGAGAAGGTGGTTGGGGTGCGCTTTTGGGGTCTAACCACCTTCTGAGGATATGGTTGGAGCCCTAGGGTATATGTAAAATGGTATCAAAAAAGCTCCAGAAACTATGGTTCCAAAGAGATCGCACATAGGTTACTTTTAGTTTAGTTAGCGAAGCTCCTCCTACCCATTTTCCTGAGGATCCTCACCACTTTTTGCACCAGCGTTTCCTGGCGGGATCTTTTTCTGCCGGTCGTTTTGGATGCAAAAGGAACAACAAACCAAAAAAGACAGCATATGATATCATAATATATCATAATTGTTTGTTTTTGTGCTCTTTTCTCTTGGTTCTTGATGTTCTTGACAGCACTTGCACCGAACCCGTGCGACCTCTTGGCCCCTGTTCTGTCCGTGACGCGTCCGATCTGTCCGATCTGTCTAACTCCGAACCCATCGGTCTCGTCGAACTCCGCGGCACCTCATCAGGAAGAGAGGCCTCTTCCGGTGTAGTCACCACCTGCAAACACTGGGGGAGAAAGAACTGCAGACAGTGCTGAGTGTCCACCGGCGAGGGAAGTGAAGTGGAAACACAGAGTCGGAAGGTGGGCCAGCTGGGCAAGCGGCGTGTATGCGATTTTTACATTAAATAGTCATAGATAGTACCATGGACCCTCAAACAGTTCACCACCTCCGACCTTCAAACCATGTCAAAAGCCTCCATGAAGACCTCCGACAGGTTGGAACGTGATTTTGTGTTGTGATTTTGGATGTGAAGCAACGAAGATTTGTACCACACGTTTGAGTCACACATGCCCAATGACAATCAGTCAATCAGTTCCAAAGGATGCCAACCAGGTCTAGAGGAACTCCGCCTGGTCCGTCTTCAGGTCTGGCTCCGAAGAGTGCGCCGAAGAGTTCACCTCGGTCGGTGGGGGGATGGGGGTGAGTGGAAATCAGCCAAGTCACGGATGTTCTGCGTGGAATTTGCTGGAAGAAAGAATGCAACATAGTCATCCCCCAACCAGAGGATACACTCAAAGATGGGACAAGATGGGAAACGCAACATCACCCAAACCATGTCTGTGAGTTGGTTCTTCTACCAACTATCGAAATATACCAATTATACACTCCCTGAAATGATCCTGGTTGCGCTCATAATTTTTCACAGAAAAGCATCTGGGTGACTTTGGTTCATGGTTTCCCACATCATGATTAGTTGCTGAGCTTGCGGATCTACCCTTCGAAGCGCAGCACCAGTGGTCTCCAGTTTTTTGATTTACATACACCCTGTGTAAATTTAACATGGAAGCAGCAAGTCATCCCTACAAACAGAAACACGTTCCTCTCCAAGCTGGTGGCTTTCCATCAGGTGTAATGACCGTATTCGCCGGATGGTAGATAGACCAGCCATGCCCCCGGGTTTTGAGGCTTCTCCACTTCACAGGACCTCTGTGTTACTTTTGAACTGTCGTTACCATTTTCTCCTACAGGTTGGGGTCCCTTTTTTGACAATCAGCATCTAACCTCAATTTGATGAAGTAGTAAGGACGCCCGATCTTTGTGAGTGACCAAATCTGGTGGTGCAAGTGATGGACTGTGGCCACCAAACCAAACCAATGAAGATCTGGGTTCACTAGTCTTTCGGAGGAATCCGAACCAAAAAAACTCCCTCCTCCTTAGTCCTGCCAAGCGTCGGCTTCTGCACATGGGGTAAAACTTAACGGCGTTGCAATCGTGGAGGGTGTCGTGGTGGAGGGAGTCGTGGCCAGAGGTGTTGAGGCATGGCGAGATGGGCCTGGACCGAGGACCCACGTGGAGAAAATGGCATCCCGGCGCATGGCGTCCTACAACAGTAGACTCATGTATATAGGGTCGGGAATTATGGATTTATTTGTTCCACCTCATTAATTATATATAAACTATATAGTATAAACACATATAAACTACTATGAACTATATATATATATGATATATGTATATAAACGGTTGTTGAGGAAAAGACATGCACAAGTTTCTTCCGACAGAACATGGACCCTCATGTTGCAGTCGCACCACCGCACAAACATCTGCATGTCTGCGGCTTTTTGGATGTGCATCCTTCAACAGAAGAGACGCCAGGGTTGTTTGACCCATGACGACCCGTCTCCGATCGGGTCCGATGGGTCCTAGTCTCCGAATGTATGCTGAACGGTCACTGAAAGGTGCATTCCAAGACACTACCATGAAAAAGTGGAAAACAAATTAAAAATGCTTGTAGAGGACACATTGTCATCCAACGGCCATGTTCAAGCCTAAAAATGATTGTTCCAGGGAGTGTAGGTTGGCTGAACACGAGACCATCATATCTTGGCAAGGTGGAAACCCTTTGAAAAATCTCGTAAGTTGCTGAAGGAACCCCCATTGTAACACAAGGCTTCGGGATGCTTCGGGAGTTGCTCCAAAAAGGAACTGACATGAACTGACCACAGCTGGTAACCAGTGGTTCAAAGACCAACCAAAACCACAGACCGAACGAGGGCCCCTGGTTCAGAAGAAGTGTAACCCAGCAGCCCGGATCCGCTGGCTTCGTTGGAATGGACCGTGATCCAACGAGCGCCTTCTCGCTTCATGGGGATCCACTGAGCGCTCTCCTGAGCCTCAGCCTCGCGCACGTGAGCGCCGCGAACGCACGAGCGATCGGCGGATCGGTTTGGTTTACAGATCCAACGCTGAGCGCTTCAGTCTTTCCATGTTTAAAGCTGCCAGTCTCCCCATTCCGATCTGAAAACGACGGACACATGCCTCACATGTGGAGGTGAGGACAGTGAGGACAGCCCATCACATTGAGACGCAGAATGAATGACAGCAAGCTGAATCGAAGCTGATACTAGATCTGATACCATATGAACAATATGAGCAACCTATCTAGGTTGGATTTGGGCACCAAGCTCCATACGTGGAGTGACACCCAGTCCTCTAAAAATGGTAGGACCCTATCAGTCTTTGGTAGAAAGGACTATGACGCAGTGGTCACCCTGATACCCTGCATGTCGACCCGTGTATGCCGCCTGTGAAGTCGCTTGAATCTCTGCATCTGCAGCTTCCACGGCGGAAGAAGCTGCTGGAGCCTTCGGGATTGAAAATCGGATCACGAGACGATTGGGTTCTGGTGAGTTGACAGTGACCATCAGTGACCACCTTGGAAGCGAATCCTCATGTCATCTGCAATTTTAAGAAAATGAAGAGTCAACAGCATTTGACCTAGCTGGAATAATCTTGAATCCTGGAATCACTGTCACAAGAAGCCAGTACTTGAACACTCTCATGACATGGAAGCTTTGCACGGCCTCAGGCACCTTCTCAGCTCTTTCTTCACGTGAACTCCTCAGATTGTGTCTAACTCTGCATGGACTTGGTGTTTTTGGGTGGGACGGAAGGGAACTGAACACGGGGGACATGACAAAACAAACGTTCCAAAGGGGTGGTTTACGAAGCGGTAGCGTTGCCCACAATCCACGCCTTTGGAACTTCTGGACATAGGTTTGATGCACGTCGACTTTTCTTACAACCTTTCTGCACATTCTGCCAAGGCGCTTGGCAGCACTTGGCTTCTCAATGGGACCGCTTCCCACCAGCATCTGGAATGGCGAGTGTACATCATTGGTGGTCATCAAACATGGCAAGTGAATGTGTGCGGATTGTTCTAAGCCAGGTGGGTTGCAAATTACATCGACCAACATGAAACAATCAAACTTTCCCAAAGGCAGTCAACATGTCCAGTTTGTTTCCACAGTTCATCTATAGTGGAGAGTATCCAATCCCCAACAACAGGTTTTGCAGGTTATTCGCTGGGTAGGTCAACATGTGCAATTCATTTTTCCACCTGACCCGTTTTTCAAGTCTTTCAGCAAGCCTCGTATACTTCAAAAGCCTGAAAAAGGGGTTGTCAAGGGTCTACCTCACTTCCCTCAAGCGTTTGGACCCAGATTTCTGGGTTTTGTGGACCCGTAGCAGCTATAGCACTCGGCTCTCTGACACCTCTCTTCGGCTGCCACGTCGCCTCGCCTCGTCGCGCGGAGCACGGAGCTTCTCTCCCAGACCTGCCTAGAGGTGCGACGCCGCAAAGGTGCGCTGCAACGGGGCTCTATCCCTAGGGATCCAGGTACAGTACCTTCTCAGAAGGTACCTGGGCCCTCCTGGCACCGTCTCACCGTGCCATGTCTCAGTGTCGAACACATCACCGTACCTCAATCAAGAAGGTACTTGGAGGCTTTTTGAAGTGGTCCCCAAATAGATGACCATGGCACGGGACTTCCTGTCTACATGTTCTTTCTGCGTGGGGATCTACGAACTTCTACGACCGGTGGTCTATGACAGGGGGTCATAAAGGAAAGAAAGGCCAGTCTTTGGCCTCTTGGTAGTTTGGATTCGCCAGCGTCCAACGCGCTGGCGAGTCCTCATGAGCGAATACTGACATAGACGTTAAACATAAACTTTAGAAGTCTTCCTAATATATTTAACATTATTTAACAATAGCGGAGTTGACGTACCATATAGCGGAGTTGAGCGGAGTTGACGTACCATAAAAAGGACACATTGAGCGGAGTCGACGTACCTTTTTTGCCTCTCTTGGTCTGCTTCTCGTCCATGAAAGACGGCACCAAACATCTTCGGTTCCATCTGGTTCCTACTTCAGCATCTTCAGATCTGATGCACTGCTTTTTGGAGATACACTATGTGACTATGTATGCACTGAATAAAAGCCCCATAAAGCCCCAGAGTCTTCATGACCTTTCATCCGGAACATCTCCGTTTCCACGAATGAAGGGGGGTCTCTTGTTCGAACCTGAGGTCCTTTCTTGTTCGAAAGCCCAAGCGTCTCTTGTTCAAACCCGAGGTCTTTTCCTAGTTGTGGGCCATCGCCACAGCGATGGTCTTCGCAGCAATTGTCTTCGTGCCTCCTCCAAGATCCCTCGCAAGCGCATGTTCTCGTAGCGCATGTGCTTGAGCTCGGCCTGGATTTGCTCACGCGTCGCATGGAGTTGTTCTGCTCTAAATTGACATTTCGCCCCAAGTTGGCGTGATTGGGAAAACGGCTGCATATGTATAGTAATGTCGCATTCTAATTAGTCAAGTGGGAGGGTTTACGGTTTAGGATCAAGCATCAAACAAATTCATCATGATTCATCTGTTCTTGTCAGCATCATGCGGAACACTTGCAGTGTCCACGCCCAAACCAGGTGTCCGGTCTGCCTCCATGGTCCCCAAGACCGCGCGGTGCGCATTTTGAAGCCCCACCTGCCGGTTTATCCGCATTCTGAAGTGACGAGTCGCAAGATCTGCAGGATAAACCATGGGGAGCAGATGTGACAATACCACACCGTCTTTTGTCCTCCTTGTGTGCGACATCCGGTCTTATGACTCCTGGTATCTGCTGCTACTATCCTTTCAGCGGTCGCAGCTACCTCCTGGGGTTCAATTCCTTCTTCTTTCAGGAGGTCCGCCTCTGCCTGTTGCAGTGCTGTCAGGAAGATGTCACCTGACAAAGCATGGCGAATCGTGGGTTGGAGTTTCAGTTTGAGTCAACGAAAAAAAAAACCAAAAAAAACACATAGTAACAGAAGAACACATAGATTGGTGTGGAGCCGTCTTTGTCCAAAGCTGCTATATGTTAATTGCTTTGGTCTTGTATTCATGTTGATTTGTTCTGCCAAAGACATTGAGGCATAAGGTATGGCCACGAGGATGGTGCCCAGTTGGATTGAAACTCAGTTGTAAAGCAGGCGACCAACGCATACTGTTGATGGTGAAATGCATCACAACCAGAGGTACAAAACATGAAAGTGGACTTGCCCAGGTCAAGTTGTCTCCATTAAATCCAAGGCGGGGGCTATAAATGGCAGTCATTGCCATCATCTGTAGTCTGGCAGTTTGATGAAGAAATGAGATGTCCTGCTTGTTTTGAGGGGCGATGCTTGTAACAACTTCCCGTCTTTCATATTGAAAGCTACTGAACTTTTCATAAGGACCTTCGGAACTCTTAGATTGGAAGGGACACCCCATGTTTCCCTGTCGAGGTAAATGGATGTGTATAGATTGCATCTTTTTTAGCCAATGGTCTAGCCAGTGCCCTACACAGACTTAAACAGAAAGACACTCATTAATTCCATTCAGGACACCATCAATAGCTGAATCCAACATTGCCATCGGCGTCAAAGACACAGTGTTGCTTTTGTAACCTGTGGTGGTCTGACAAATGGCCACCGATACCTTGCGGACACTGAACAGCTGGCCACCACATTGAATTCCATAATCCAAAGACTGGGAGAGAGACTGGACCTGTGTAATGCTTGTGTTTCGAAGCAGTTGGGATATTGATGTGTTGCATGTTTCTGCGACTCAGCACCCTGCCATGTAACAAAGCTCGAACATGCTGCCTTCGACTACACCACGACACGTCATGACCTCTGTAAACAATCAGCGCTTATCGGCGCTCATGTCCAACTTGTGCTCGTGTCCCATGTTCTACGTGTGATCTGTTCTGAGCAACATGTCTGCATCACCGTCGCTCTCCGTTCACGGGAGCGCTCCCCATCAGGGTCATATGGTCGAAATGATTGAACATCCCCATATGCCATGCATGGACGTCGGCTCTCGCCTTCATGGCTCCTTTATATCCAGCATCCATGAAGGCCTCAGCCCCTTCTGCTCTTGGTACACATACAAACAAACGACTTAGGCCAATGACACTTGCTGAATGCCCAATCGTTTATGTTGTCTTTGTCAGCCCAGCCTCAAGCAATAATTAAACAAGCACAAATTCAAACACAAGATGGTGATACTACTGCATCCTTTTCAGCACTGTCTCCAGGCGATAAAACAGGCTGTTGCTCCATCTGTGGTCGCTGCGTTTTCGTCAGCCATCCTCAGGCAACAACTCTCTCTGCATAGTAAATTCTCAAAATACACCAAGGTCTTCAGCAATCTATGACAAAGCAAGAGCGGAACAAACAAGTGATCAACACCCGGTCCTTGCCTAGTAGATCTTCTCAGCAGGACCAGTGCCACAGATCTTCTCAGGTGTCACAACTGCAATCAACAAATATCACCTCCACAGCCACCAGTCCAAGTTCCTGGGAAGGGAACATGAAACAGAAATGGTCGATTCAATGAGTGTGGATTCAAACACATTCAATGTGAACACACAAAATCTATAAATTTCATTGGTTTCGCCCGTCTCCCCCACCTGGCTCCAAGCTCAAGGACGAGGTGGGTGTGCTGGCTCCTGATGGATGATCCTGGAGGAGAGCTGCCAAGAGCTGCCAAGTTCTTGTCGACCAAGTGGCCAAGTGGCCAAGTGGCCTTGAGCAACTGGCCGAACTCAGCAGCAAACTGAGGAAGCCCAATCAGAAGCCGACCATTTTGGAGTGAAGGCCTCTGTGGTTCAAACGATTCCCCATCGGGGCCCGACGGTCAGGTCGTCCCCGGTGACGGGTGGTGACGCTGGGAGGTCGTCCGTGTGGATCTCATGCGTCACATCTGGTAGATCCAGAAGTGGCGAAGAGTTCCAGTTCGAAGAGCCAACGGAAGTGGGAGCGCGGTTCGAAGTAACACCGTTGGATCACCCAAGACATGGAAGTCACATCGGTTGAACGTCAAGTCGTGTTGTTCTACCATGTTCTACCAATGGCCGCAATGCTGATAGATCTCAGGTCCGTTGTCTTCAAAAGGCTCACTCTCAACCTCACCCGTAGTTGCCTGGTTCAATCGTGCGAAAGTGAAGGCAATGCGGAGACCTTTTCTAAGTGGCTTTCCAAAAAATCATGGCTTTCGTGGAGGATCCAAGACTTCCAGGCAGGACAAATTACCATGGTCGAAACTAAGCAAGTTTACCACCTGCACACCACATGTCCGTCGCTTCGGACAGCTTCGACGTCCCAAAGACCACACCTGTCGGAGCTGTGCTCTGGTGCAAAGCGCAGCGGAGTGGGGCGACCAAAAGGACCCGCACGTTCGGCGGTGTCCAGCGCGTCAAGTGGATGACGTGAGGCTTGCGCTCAGTCAAGTGAGTTGCAGTAAAAGGATGAGAAGCAGGTGAGAAGAGGTGTCCTGGCGGAAAAAGATGGAAAAAGGATCAACAAAATGCACTGTGTCCCTTCTCAAGATCCGTTATCATCCTTAGTTTGGCCTTCGGAGGGGAGCAATGTGTACTAAAAACCAGGAATGGAGGCCCGTTTTCTGTATAGAAATGACTATGTAGCCTGGAAAGTTGAATCCTGAAGCATACCTATTGGCCCACCATCAAATGACTTCTTTGCAACCTTCAATCTCTACACATCAGCTCATCTTTCTCTACACACTGCACCCAGTGCTGATGTACAGCCAAGCTTCCACTGCATATGAGACCACCACATTCACCAAGGACAAAGGAGGCAAAGGGCTGTCCGTGGGCTCTGGTACGATTTGCTCCTGGCCAGGGCCGCTTTGGGTCGACGTCCAATCTAAGTTGGGGCATTTGGGGTTGTTGCCTTTTAGATTTGGGGATGCTGGTCTTTGCACATATTTGTGTTTTTTGTATTAAAAGTTAATTTGGGGTTGCTCCCTGCTGGCGCACTGTATGATTTAATCATGGGTTGTTTAGGTGTTTACAGTCTTTGTGTGATCTGGTGTGAATTTGTTGCGAAACAATTTTGCACATCATCTAAACTGCTTTACCAAAGTTGCAGGGTGCACAGAGTGAGTGTGAACAGTTGTGCATTCGTGATGCAAGTGAGCTTGTTGATCACACAGCCCTTTTGGCTCCTGACTTCGCTAACGTGGCAGCCAGCTGAGAAGTCTGGCCATGCCACTTGTGCTGCCAGATGATGATGGTGGGCTGCGGGACTTCAGTGCCCCAGAGCCGTTGGTTGAGATGCCTGTGAAGCGGCTGAAATTTAGCCCTGAAAAGTTTCTCAGCTGTCCGAATGGCTCATTTGAAAGGCCCAAATTGGCCTTGCCACCTCATTCAGGCTTGGTTGCTGTAGCCTGGGCTGCGAGCAGAAGCTGGCAGACAATGAGCGGGTGAAGAACATGAAAGCGAAGATGGATGCCATGGAAAACCAAGAGAAGAACATCCACCTCATGTCCTTGCTTTCGAGTTCAAATTTGGGGGAGGCCTGTTCGTGTTCCAGCATGAGTTCCTGAGTCAAATCTTTTTGCTCTTTTGTGATCTGCTAGGAACAGAGTAGGAGCACATACCGTCTTTGTGGCTTCCGAGTCTGCAAGAGTGCCTTCTGTTCCCTGTTGGGTGTGAATGTGAAGAGGGTGCTTCAGCCCAATGGAAGAAATGTAAACTCATGTGATTGATGTGTGAAGTGCGATTGCCTTCAGTTCATTTTCAGATTGCCTTCAGTTCATTTTAATTTTTTGCGTTTCGCTACTGAAGGTGAACCGCTTGCTTCCACACACTGGTACGGGGCTGGTCCCGGCCGACATGAGAAACATGAATGGCCTCATGAAGAAAGACACGTGTTCCAAGATGCGGCACAGTGTGGAAGGATTCCTGAACTATGCATACAACTACTTGGCCATTCAGCTTGGACAAGTGATTGTTTGTTGTGCAATATAGCAGCCGATCCTGTCTGCATTTTTTGAGGCAGAACCGTTGGCTGAGCAAGACATTGCAGAATATGAGCCATATGTCCGATCCCTGCTGGGCACAAGTTGTTTTTGGGCCGCAGGGCAGTCAACTCCCTTTTGATTTTCTTTTGGATAGTAGAATATTGAATCCAAACTGGCTGAGGCATCATTGGCGCCGAAGACCAAGGGTTGCCTCAGTCTCTTCTGCAACCATGTGGACCTGAAAGCACGGCGTTTGTAGATGCAGCAACAGCAGACTTCAACCCTTGCGCTGCCAATGTCGCAGATTTGGGTGGCCACTCGTCTGTGTGGGTGGGCTAGGCTGTGCCAGTCTGGCTCGTTGGGTGGAGTCTGGTTGTCGCGTGCCAGCCTGGAAAGTCTGGCTACCAAAATTCTGTTTTGGTGTGCCAGCTTGCCAGGTCTGGCTGCGACAACATTGTCAGGTGTGCCAGCCTTTCAGGCCTGGCTGCCTGGAAGTGTGTAAGGTCTGGCTGGCCGTGTTGTTTCGGCTGCCAGCTTTTGGGCATCCGTCTGTGGGCCATTCTGGCTAGCCAGTGCCGGGTTTTTGGGCAAACTTGGCTGGCCTTTATGGGATGTGTTGGGCGGAAAGGTATGAAGAACACCTTTCCTGTGAGGGCGTCATCTCTGCTGTGCGAGGCATCCGTGGGCGACAAAAGAGGTTTCTGACCTGGATGACATGGGAGGCTTTTCGGGCGGAGTATGAAATCTGGGCTGATAGCCACGAACTTCCTCAAGAAGATCGTGCTGGGCGGACCCTGTTTGAAGCCACCTGCAAAAGTTGGAGCGACCGTCTTGGCTTTAGGAAGCCCAGTCAGCATGCGAGGCCCGTCCACCCATTCTTGAGAACTCCCATGGCTTTGATTTTTGCAATTACATGCAGCAATGAAAGGTGCACTACATGCTCCAAGTTCACTGAGAGGATCAAGACAGCGCGGGGGGATGACCGACAGCAAGTCCTCAAAGCTCAGTCCGAGCATCTGGATATGGTTCTGCAATGGCGTGCGGCCCAAACCAGATTCAACCATCTTTCAGAAGATGCCCTTCGACCTGGTCGCAAGGACAATGCACATGAGCTGTTCAAAGTGGATATCGATGCTGCAGATGAAGCTAAGTTTCGCGTTCCCCGCAACACCTCCAGTGCAAAGGCTTTAGAGGGCCTCTGGAGACCTCAGTTGCATTTGCACGGAGCTCTGTTCTGGGGAGTGTCTTGTCCAATACTGATGTGCATGTGGGGCTTCAGTGTTTGGGTTGTTGTGCTTCTGGCTCCTCATTGTCTGAGGTTGCCGAATGTTATTGGATCTTGGAGAGTGATGTCCCCAAAGATCCGGGAACGGAAGCAACCATCTTTGCTTACGCCATGGACACTGCCATGGAGGAGTTGAAAAAGCGGGATACCAGTCTTCCCCACCATTGTGTGCTTGAGGCAGAAATTTTCAGTTTATGTTGATTGCAGATTACTTGTGTTAATTTCGCGCGTGGCAGCCATCATGATTGTCCTGCTGCCTTTGCAGACTGACAACTGTGTCAAAGAGGGCAAGAACCAGTTCATGGGCCTGGTAGAAGCCTACTTGGTGGCGTCCTCCCGGAAGCTAGTCTGCAAGTGTTTCCCTGATTTGGTTTGCCTGGCTGTCAGTGGAGACAAGTATCCACCTGGTTTTTGCACGCATATGTCACTGCGTGCAGAAATTTTGGGCTCGCAAGCATTTCCCGTGTTAGTGTCACCAACCAATGGAGCACAAGCCTGTGCCTGTTGCACCCCTGCTCTTTGACCATCTGTGGATGATCGTGTTGTTTTGCGGGCACCTTCGTGAATATGGCTTTGTTTTGGATGAAGGTGACGATGTGAGTTATGAGGAAAACCTGCGCCTTGTCCGGGAGCGCAGTGACCGACTCCGGACCCGCATTGGTCAGTACTTTTCTGACTGCATCATGGTGTGGCCGGCAGAGATCCGATTCCGTGGCGCTTGGCCGAACTGGCGGGTCTATGCCGCCCTTCGAGCAGTGAACCGCGCCCTGGGTCATGGTGTGTTGCACTTGCGAGTGTGTCAACTTCACACTCCACCCAAGGGCATGTCATGGTCCCAATGTCGGACAGTGCAAACTTTCCATTGGCGGTCTGAGAGTGCCAAATCTTTTTGGAACATGTGGTATTATGAGCGGCGCCCGGCCCGAATCGTGGCCATAGGATGGCAAGACCGTTCATTGGAAAGGTTTCCCTGGGATGACTCAAGTTCATCTGACTCATCGGACCGTGACTGAAATGGCGCCCTTGGACATGAAAAAATCCATGGTAAGTTGCTTTGCGTACTCCCTGCTCAGCATTGCTGCAATGTCAATGTTATACTTGCTGATTGCCAGCTGGGGCGGTCAGTCTGCCAATTCAATTTGGCAGGCTGCCTCCTGAGACTGGTAGCCAGTAAGACTGACATGCACTCACTCCTGTGTAACACATACAAAGTGAACCAAGGCTGTCTTCTATGACCCACGTATTTGGCGATGTTGGCCATACCCATGGCCCTTTGGATCAAAGGTTCAGTGTCCTTGCTGCGTGCTTGGCAAGCTGCAATGTCCTGGAGCACCCACAGGCCTGACCTCCGTTGCATTTGACAGCAACATGGGTTGCAATGTGATTCTGAATTCTGACTGTTGGCTGTCAGGACTTTGTAGAAGCCATCAAGAAGCGTTTGGTGCCATCACGTGGGCGCGTGTTGGTGTGCGAAGTCTTGACAAGCTCTCTCAACTTCAAAGCTTTTGTGGACAAGTTCGATGTCGTCATCAGTGGATTGGTTCCCAACCCAAGAGGGTCCAATCCTCAACTGCACACCAATCATTGCTGGAGATTTGTACGCCGTGCAGCTGCTCGGCATCTTTTTCCATAATCCACAAAATTGTCTGGCCAAAGCCATTCATTTCTTAACCCACTGCCATCGTCCCAGGACTTGCCCAAATATGATGCATCGCAGGAGACGGCATGGACCGTGGGAGAATTTGCTGAGGAGGCTGGCATTCCATGGGCATCTTGTTTGGAACTGCAAAATGTAGAGGTATATTTATTTTTAGGCAAACTCACCTGCCAGGATTACACCAAGCATCCTAAGGATGTGGTGTTGCTGGTGAAAGAATGGGTGAGCTCAGCATCTTTGAGCCAACCGCCAATTCTGGCTTTGCCTTTTGACTACTTGCAAAGGGTCGAAGGTGCCACTGTGGAAGCTCAACCGCGGAAAGCCCTGGGGACCCGTGAGTGTGATGAGTTCTTTGCTTGAATCATTTGCTCTAGAAGATGACTTTAAAGTCCTGCATGTCCTCAGGGCGTCTCCCTGCTCTAATTGTTTCAGGTTCTTACGAACCGCTCGAGCTGTGCAACAAGAGCCTTGGAACTTGCACCACGCGGCCAACTATTTGCAACAGTTTGTGGACACCCAGCAGCAAGCAGATTTGCAACATTTCGCCTTTCATGAAAGGGTGGCCTTGGACTGGGCACCCCCTAAGGCAAACAATTGTGATCAGACTTTTCCAGCACCAATCTTGCCTACCTGGATCTTTTCCTATGTCCGTGATTCTTCTCAGCCTTGTGACGCTGGGTGCAAGCCTGAGTTGATTGCAGTGGTTTACATTCATTTTATGCGTGATGGCTTTTGTTGTCCCTCTTCCTGTCTATAGGTGGGAAAAGTTTGCTCCTGGACCTGTCCGGGTGATCACTGCTGATGCCCTGAGTACTGCCCAGCGCATCAGTGTACAAGCCATCAAAGAGAAAGTCCGTGAAAAGAAAAAACGAGAACATGCCTCCAATGCTCCTGTGCCAGCTGTAGTTTTGCCGCCTGACGTTCCTG